GAAATGCAGGACAAACAGGAGTGCATGAGGGGCACAGAGGGATGGTTGCAGGGCAGGGAGGGGAGGAGACTGGGTTGGAGTTGAACATGGTGAATGGGGAATGAAACTAAATGCACACGTTACGTTGAACGCAAAACAAGCTCTTAAAATAAAAAATAATAAAAGAAAATAATATTTGGTTCCTCCTGTTGCTATTTGATTACCTTTAATTAATTTTTTTTTTTTTTTTAATTTTCCTTGGAAGGTTTCAGGATGATACATTTGAGTTACAAGTTCATCTTGAGTAATCCCCCATTTGTGTGCCTTTCTGTGTCTGGTTTCCATTTTTGTAAAACATCACCCAGAAGGGCTTAGGGTATTGAGGCAGGAGGTTGAGAACAAAGATAACCAGGCAGAGATCTAGGCTCAGGCTTGATAAGGGTGTAGGTCAGATGCCTGTGGTTACAGTGGAATCGTAAGCAAAGCAAAGGACCAGAAACAGGAGATAGCTGCAGAGGTCAGAGTCCAGGTATGCACTTCTAGGAGTGAGTCAAGTGCTTGGGAACTAGGATCTCTGAGTAAGGGCATAATCATGAGTGTTGGAACCCAGGAACACGAACACAGTAACACCCTTCTTCATTAGAATGCAGGCCCAGCCTGCTTCCAGAGCATTGTCTGCCAACAGAGGAGTTTTTATAGTGACTTTCTCATCAAGGGAGAAAATGATCTTAAGGTAAACGTGCGAAAAAATGGTCTGCAGATGGTTTAGGAGAGGCTGGGAGGTACCACAGATGTAGAGACTGGTACCTCCCTAAATGAGTCCTCTGTAATATACCTAGAATGTTTGCAAAGCAGAATTGTCCTGGACCCATTAGCATTTCATAAATCCAGGCTAGAAAGATCATTTCTAGAAGCAATTAAGCACTGTCTTGCATGGAGAACAAGTGTGAGATTTGAAGGGTTGAAAATCCTTGGTCAGATTGGGTAATGACAAAGATTTAGACTTTCAGAGTTAAATCTGAGGGACAGCAAAGCTTTCATCCTACTCATTTCTCACAGCCCTGCAGAACCGGGACAGTGCCACGCATTGTCACCAGCAGCAGCAGCAGTACCGGGTTGACCTCTATAGCCATGTTGCTTGGCTATGTTTCCTTGGGGCAGAGATTTTGGGGGAGGATGAATACAGGATGTTCAGAGCCAGGAACAGAACTCAAGACCTTGGGCTCCCAAACCAGTGACTCCCCGCTCCAACCCCTGACCATGTTTTTCTGCTTCTTCAAAATAGAACTTGGTTGTAGTTGTGATCAGTCCACACTGAGCACTCAAAAATGGTAGTGGAATGCTTTTAAAGCATTGCAGGAAATGTCCCCGTAACGCTGCTTACTTCCATATATTTGAGCAGGGAGCAGGTGAACCATCAGGTGGGAGAATCCTTGGACCCATCTCAGGCTCTACTGGGCCTGCACCACTCTTTAAGCTGGTTACATTTAGGTAGCAAGATTTTGGATCACTTTTTTTTTTTTTTTTTTCGATCACTTTGATGCTGAGTCTTTTTTCCTCACTATAACTCTATGAGGTAGATGGGGTAGATACCCAAATCTCAGAAAAGGAAGCTGAGGCTCAGGGTGATCTTTCCCAAATTAGCATATTTAGCAAACAACCAGCACGTCAAGCAAAGGTTTGAGCTTGACGTGCTGTTTTCACATCACCAGGAAATGAGTGCTTGGCCTTGCCTATCAGTACAGCCAATAAATGGCTGTATTTCTCAATTCACTGAAATCTATGCTTTGATGATGTGATTTTATGAATTCTAGTGCTCTGCCTATGAGTTCCCTTGGTGCAGGTCAGCTCTTCCCCTATCCTTGCTAATAGATGATTCGTTCAGCAAATATGAAATGAGCCCCTCCTGTGTGCTAGGTACTGGGCATACAGCAGTGAACATGAGGAGTGAACTTATGCCTCCAAGGATCTGATCTTGTATTGGGGGAGACAGATAATAGACAAGCAGAGAACAGTATTAATGCAATATTAGAGACAGGTAAGTAATGAAGGAAAAATAAAACCTATAAGCGGGTAGCAAGTAATATGCTAAGAGGCTGTTCTAGATAAAGTAGCCAAGAAAGGCCTCTCTGGAGTGAACAAAATGAAGTCAGAGAGTTAACAACATAGAAGAGCATCCCAAGCAGGGGGAATAGCAAATACAAACTCCTTGAATTAGAATGAATTTGTCATGTTGAGGAACTGCTGGTTGGTACGGCTCTAGCAGAGTGAGTAGGAAGAGAGGGAGAGAATGGTAGGAAGTGATATCAGGGAGCTCATTACCCTAGACCCAGATTATGCATAGCCTTGAAGGCCATGGTAAGTACTTTAGATTTTATTTGGAATAAAAAGTCAAAAGGTTTGGAGTGGGAGAGTCACACAACCTAATTTATATTAAAAGATCATGCCAGCACATCAAACATGCCTACAAATCCAAAAATGTATAATAATAGTAATAATAAAACCTATTTGGTCACCTTTGGAGGGTACTAGTGAATGAACTCATTATGTTCAAATCTGGCAAATAAAGGTAAAGAATAAATCACATACTCTGCCTTTCTAATGTGAACTGTGCTGTTGAGGAACCAAAAAGGAAATGAAGGGAAATTCCTTTTTGTAGAATTATGTTGTTGTTGTTAGGTGTCATTGAGTCAGCTCTGACTCATAGAGAACTTGTGTATGACAGAAGAAAGCATTACTGGGTCCTGTCTCCATCCTCACGATCTTGGCTATACTTGCCATTGTGTAGCCACTGTGTCAATCCATCTCGTTGAGGGTTGTCCCCTTTCTCACTGACCCTGTACTTTATCCTATGTGATCATTATAAACCCCAAAACCAAAGCCATTGCCCTTGAGTCGATGCTAACTCATAGTGACCCTACTAGCTAATAAATGAAGACAGAAGGATGGACTTAGCATATCAACATTTTACAATCTCTTATGAATTGATCCATCCAGTTCTAACATCAGAAAAAAAGAGATGAAATATTAGTTGTATTTTGATGAAAAACCACACCACCACCTATGAAGTAGTCTTTCTAAAAAAGGAAAGGGGAGAAAAAAAAGCCCAAAACAAACCAGGGTTCTAAATCCAACAACCAATTCAAAGGCAGACCAGAGAATGGAGGGATACAGTCAGTGACACCATGAAGATGCAAGCAAAGAATTCACGGCTGTGTGAAGCACAAGGGACTAAATGACCCAGTTTCTTTAACAAATAATTGACGTGAGAAAGAATCGAAATGGAGGGTATTTTGTTTCATAGTGCTTGCGTAACAAAATATACCATAAGTAGGTGGCTTACAAGAACAGAAATTTATTTTCTCACAGTTCTGGAGGCTAGGATTTTGAATTGAGGGCTTCTACAGTGCGGGACACCCTCTCTGTCTCCCTCTTTGGGCTCTAGGGGAAGATCATTGTTTCTTTCTGCTTTTGTAACCTTGGAATTTCTTGGCTGCTTATACCTACATCTTTACATAGTATCTCTCTCCCCTTTTGTGTATGCCTCTCTGTATCTTTTTTTTTCCCCCTAAAATACCACTCAGAAAAGATTAGGGTTAGCACTCACCTTACTCCAGTATAACCTCATCAAGACAACAAAAGGAAACTCCTGTTTCCAAACAGAGTCACATTCATAGGTACAGTGGTTAGGACTTTGATATGTATTGAGGGGAGGCCACAATCCAATCCATAAATAGGGGGGAACTTATAGATGAAAAGGAACTTCAGAGATCTACCAGCTGATGTGATGTGTGGACTGTAATTGAATTTTGATTTAAACTAAAATATACAGATTTATGAAATAATTTCTAGATTTATAAGACATATGATATTAAGGCATTATTGATTTTTTTGTAAGATAATAGTACTGTGGTTATGTTTTTTTTTAAGTTTTTATCTTTTACTGATACTTAGAAATGTTAATGGATGAAATGATAAATGTCTTAAATTTTCTTGAGAATAATAGAGGGGGGAGGACAGGTAGATGGGGGTAGGGTTGTGTCACAAGATTGTCCTTGAGTAGATAACTCATGATGAAGCCAAGTGTTCTGGTTACCTAGTGCTGCTCTGACAGGAATATGCCACAAGTGAGATGGCTTTAACAAACAGTTTATTCTCTTACAATTTGGGAGGCTATAAGTCCAGGTTCAAAGTGCCAGGCTCTAGGGGCTGGGTGAAAGCCCCTCAACCTTGGGCTTTAGGTCTGCCTCCTGCTCCCAGCCCACTGAAGCTGGAGGTGTCTCTTCACTCAGGCAGCTGCTGGCGGCTGAGGCTGACAAACCCGAGGTCGACACATAAAAAGGCACAGTCCCAGAGTTACCAAACCACACAGCAGGCCATTAATTCAAGTCCTTTGAAAGTCCCAAGATTGGTAGAGCATGGCAGGCTACTGAATGAAGACCCACCTACATGCAGGGTTCTAGCATGCCAAAGGGCTAGAGACCATTCCCAAATCTCCTCCTTACATATGGGAAGCAGACCACATCCTTAAAGCAGCTACTCAGCTACTTGTGGCAGATTCCACCATGGAGTTAATTGCCAGTCTCATCACTCAAAACCAGGCCCAGCCAAGTTAACATATTACCTTAACTACCACACCAAGTAATTGATTATCCATGCTATTTTTGTATATTTTGAAAATTTTCCACAATAAAAAGTTAAAATAAGTCAGTGTGGCTATTCTGGAGAAAGTAGACTGAGGAGCTAGATAAAACAGTAAAACAGGAAAGGCTGTTGTGGTCAGTGGGTTAAAGATGAGGGTGGCTTGGACTAGGGACTCATGGCAGAAATGAGGAGAAGGGATTGGTTTGAGGATTAGGATTAACTTGTAGCCAACAGGACTTGTTACATTGGACGTAGGATGGGAAGGACAGAGAAGAGAAAAAAGAAGAAAGGTGAATTCAGTTGTATATTCCAGTAACAAGAACGTAGAGCAAAGATATTTCTTTCCAAAATATTAATGATTTATTTGCTCTCCGTAGAACACCCGAGCAAACCAGGAGCTGATTCGCTGTGTCATCCTTTCCCGGATTATTTTTGGGGAAGAACATTGGAAATGTGCACAGGCTTTGGCCAACCTGGCTTATGGTTACTTGACTTTGAGAGGTACTGAGTTTCCACAGTTGGCTGTGGGTGGGCAACCTGTGAGGGATGCACTGAGCCCACACACAGCCACAGGGGAGGGGGCGATAAGAGGAGGGAGGGTGATAAGAGGAGGGGTTCCTTTCTGCCCCCAACTCACACCTTCTCAAGAAGAGGGGAAGGTCCATGCTTGAGACAGTATGGTGAGGATCTCAGTAATGAAGATAATAATGATGATAATAATTAAGTACTTGGTGTGTACTAAGCTAGTCTCATTTAATCCTCACAATATGCCATGGAGGGAGATGATTTTATAATCCTTAGCTTGCAGATGAGGACACTGAGGCACAGAGAGGCTAAATGACTTGCTAACAACTGCAAATGGACAATGGACATTATCCAGCCATAGGTCAGCTGGGGAAGGACAGGCAAATGTGCAGCCAGAATTAGGGAAGCAAGCCCAGTAATGGGACTGGCGTTCCAAAGGCAAAACTCAAATACCTTGAAAGTCTGGCTTGGGGAATGGCAAGAGCCCTAATCTTAGAGAAATGTTGCTATTAGAATGGATTCTGATGCAGGGATAAAGGCAGTGATCTATTTGTTAGAGCTAACACACAGTATAATCATGGTAGGAATTTTGCAGTCAGAATTCAATGAATATTTGTTGACAGATGGAGGCTCCTGAATTTGACTGCAGTAGCTAGATCCTGGGAGGAATTAGCGCACAGGAGTGAGTTAAGGTTGTAGGTGTGGATGAGATTGATTATAAGCGGTATGTAGAATGAGGGAGGAAGAGGCAGAATACAGAAGGCTAAGGCCTTTGGAATGAGTAGCAGAAGAGAAGCCAGTAAAGGAAATGGAAGAATCAGGAGGCTGTGTCAAAGAAGGAGAGAAGATTTCAAACAGAAGTACAAGGAGATATCAAAAAGAAGTACAGCAGGGTTTCAACAGATTCAGATGATAGAGAGTCAAGTAAAGAAAATTGCTGAAGAGAGACGCATGGATTTGGCAATTGGTAGGTCAGCAGCACTAGGCTTGGCACTGACCAGTATGCTGCTTGGGTCCTGGGAGGGCTCAGATTCAGGGAGATGAGCTAGGGCACTCCTGCTGGAATTCAGGCATGAGGTGGTGATGGCCTGAACTGGAGGGGGAGGAGTGGAAGGGTACAGGAAGTGTTTGATAGGGAGCTTTCTCTGAACCTAGGGCAAGGCCAGTTGCTGCCTCCATTGACTTGGTTAGATCACTGTGTCAGAACTATGGAAGGACATTGACCCTCATCTTCTGAAATCGTCTCACCTACTTTGCTCATGTTATCAGAAGGAATCATTCACTGGAGAAGGAGGATATCATGCTTAGTAAAGCGGAGGGCCAACAAAAAAGGGGAAGGCCCTCAACAAGATGGATGGAAACAGTAGCTGCAGTGATGGGCTCAGGTATAGCAGGGATCAGGAGGCTGACGCAGGACTATACAGTGTTTCGTTCTGTTGTGCATAAGGTCACTATGAGTCAGAGATGACTCAACAGAACCTAACAACAACAGCTTCTGAAATCAGTCCTTTCCATCATCAGACACAAACTGACCCTGAGTTTTACTTTTCCCATTAGATTCCAGTCTGAATGAAAATGGTTGAATAGCTCATATCAGAAAAGATGACGGGAACATCATTCCCACCCCACCCCCCAATTCAGTTCTTCCTGCTGCATGAATGAAGAACCACATTTGGGGTAGTAAGTTGAAGGGAAAGAAAGTTTTCCTATTGTAAAGAAAGGGAGCTCTGGTAGCATAGTGCCTAAGGCACTTGACTGCTAACCAGAAGGCTGGCAGTTCAAACCCACCAGCTACTCCTCAGAAGGAAGATGGGGCAATCTACTTCCGTAGTGATACTGCCTCGGAAACCAAATGAGGGGTTGCTATGAGTCGGGTCCGACTTGACGGCACATAACAACAACATTGTAAAGAAAAGATTTTTGTTTGTTGAGAAAAGAAAAAAAAAAAAAAACCTCACTGCCTTCGAGTTGGATCCAACCGCTCCTTGGGTTTCAGTGGGAGTATCACTCTGGAAGTAGATTGCCCAATCTTCCTTCTTGATCAGGTGAAGTGCCTACGTGGCGTAACTGCCCAGCCTTGAGCCCAGACATTCTGGTACCCAGCCTGGAGTTTCCCTGGAACAGATTATGAGCATGACCTTTGAGAATTGCCCAGTGCCTTTTATTTCAATTGTAATCCTGACCTAATCTCTTTAACTTTTTAAAGTCTGTGGTCTGTGGAATAAAACAACTAAGGCTGTGAAAAATCATTAACTTTCAAGAGGGATGAAGTGCTTGCTGAGCTCCTCTTAGTTTTTTTGTCACTAATCCTGAAACTAAAATGGACAGAATTTATGAGCCAGCCTTCTGTGTAGATGGGATATGTGTCTCATTGTGTTTCTATGCCTCGCTGCACATATGCATGTTTTATAGCCGCCAGATCTGCTTTCCTCACTCCCCTTGGAGCCATTTCTAGCATTAGAGTATGGAGGGCAAGCCAAAAGGCTGATTTATGTCAGTAAACAGTTTCTCAGTGAGTATTTAGTGAGAAATGTCTCCATGTGAAATACTGCGAAAGGCACTTTGAGAAGTGTAAGATATAGAAGGCATAGTCTTCGTCCTCAAAGGGCTTACAACCTAAGTGTGGAAGGTGAGCTGGATGGAGACATAACTACGGTTGAGGACATGTAAAATAAATGCCCTGTAATTGATTTAAATACAATGCATTGGGAAAGTTGGGTGCTAAGTGACAGGTTCTGGATGGGCATAAAATTTGAGCTAGATCTTAAAAAATGACTATGGATTGGGTAGGCAGAATGAGAGAGGGCATTTCTGATGAAGAGAAAGGCATGGACAAAGGCGTGAGGGTTAGTTCAACGTTTGTTTAGAAAGCAGTGAGCAGAACTGTCTGGCTAAGATGAGGACTGGTAAGATGGACCTGGACAGGAGAGTATAAAGAAGGAGATGGACAGACCATAGTGGTTTCAAATATAGGCTAAGGAATTTGTACTTTATTTGGTAGGCAAGGAGGGCTATTGGAGATCTTCCAGAAGAAAGATGAAAAAAACTAAGTGCCATTTTGGAAAGATTAATGTAGCAATGATAGCTAGAATAGGAGCTGTGTCAATCATCTAGGTCCAAAACTAGTCTAGTGACAGTGGGAATAGGTGAGAAAGTGAGGATTCAAGCATCTGTGAAGGGCAGATACACTTATCCTTTAAACGAGAAATCCCACTTCTGGTAATATTTCTTAAGTATACACTTATAAAATGATGTGTGGATAAGTTTACTCTTTGCAGTATTATTTGCAGTAGTAGAAGACTGGAAACAACCTAAGTATCTGTCAGTAGGGGACTAATACATACACACGCTGGCACATGTTCCTTGCTATCAAGTTGATTCCTACTCATGGCAACCCCGTGTATGCAGAGTAGAACTGCCTTTAGGATTTCCAAGGTTATAATCTTTTTTTGAAAAAACTTTGCATTGTGATTTGGGTGAAAGTTTATAGGACAAATTGGTTTTCCATTCAATAGTTCATACACATTTTGTTTCTTGATATGGATTGCAATCCCCACAATATAACAGCACTCCTGCCACCTCCTCCCTGTGTCCTTTCCTGTCCATTCCTGCCTTCTGAGCTTTGTCCCTAGGCAAATGGTTGATTGTTCTAAGGAGTGTACCTCCCTGGTGGTTACTGTTCACCTCATAGATCTGTCTATTGTTTGGCTGAAAGTTGAGCCTTGGGTGTGAGTTCAACTCTAGGCCCAAAGAGTGGCTAAGGGCCATCATTTTGGGGGTTCCACCAGGCTGTATCAGACCAATAAGCCTGGTCTTTTTATGATTTTGAGTTTTCTTCCACATTTTTCTCCCGCTCTATCCAAAATCTCCAATTATGATCTCTCTTCAAGTGGTTGGCTTTGGGAGTGAGGCACCATCTACCACTTCTGGTGTCAGGCTGAGGTTCCCATGGTCCATTAGTCCCTTGGACTAATTGTTTCCATATGAGTTTGATTTTCTTCACTCCTCTTTGCTCTGGATGAGGAGAAATAAATAGTTGCATCTTAGATGGCTGCTTGCAAGCTTTTAAGGCCCCAGTCACTGTTCACAAAAGTAGTATGAACTCCAGTATTATGAAAAGTGAAGAAAAATTTACACATGGAAAGAAACATTCTTTGATGGCTACAAGGAAAGGAAGAGAGAGGGAAATTACTAGCTAAGTAAGAGACACATATTGCCTTGGGTGAAGGGAAAGGCAATATACTGAAAGTGGTGATCAGCATAATATCACTAAGGAAAAGGAAGACATGGAGACGTGCACAAGAATTATCGATGACAAAAGTAAACACTTATTACATACACAATCCTGCATGGTCAGTAATCACCAACATTAATCTACTGGTAGATACTTAGGTAGACAAGCAAGATGACTAGGTATGGGTAGGCAAATAGGAATACACCCATGACCATATATGGGTTTGGCAGATGATATTCCTATGTACATATTTGTATGTGCTATAAAAATGTCCATGTATATAGGAGCTCTGGTAGCAGAGTGCCTGAGGCACTTGACTGCTAACCAGAAGGCTGACGGTTCAAACCCACCAGCCACTCCTCGGAAGGAAGGTTGGGCAATCCTACTTCCGTAGTGATACTGCCTCGGAAACCCAAGGAGGGGTCACTATGATTCGGGGCCAACTTGATGGCAAATAACAACAACAACAACAACAATATGTATATAGTAGAGCTAACAGGAGGCAATGGTATGGTAACTTCTTAGCCTCAACCAAACACCTTGAGAGAGAGAGTCGCTAAGACTGTGGGTTTCAGACCATAGTCACAGGGGACATCAAGCTTAACTGGCATAACATAGTACCGAGGCTATATGATCTTCACAGAGGCAGACTGCCACATCTTCCTCCCACGGAAGAGTTGGCAGGTGTGAACTGCTGACCTTAGTTTAGCAGCTGAGAGCTTAATCACTGTACCATCAGGAC